TACCCATCCAACCCATCCATCCATCCATCCCTTAAATGTGGGGTAAGCGATTTTTCAAAAACGCTTTAGACGGGCCGACTGGGACGGACATTAGCCGAGCCGAGCGACAGAGAGATAGAGATGGCGGATAAAAAACAAAATAGGAAAACCTCTGCGGAACAAAAGAAGGCTTAAGGCAATAAGGCAAGAAGTAGGACCCATGTAAATATCGGATCAGCTTTCCAGCGCTGGAAAGAACTCAAGGAGCGGAAGGCCTGCGATCGGACGCCGAGGTTGTTTTGTTTCTTCTCGATAGGTGAGTAACACTTACCAACAGCTAAAGTCTGTCTAGTACACTGGACGCGACAAAGCGACTGTTGTAAATCATTTGAAATGTATGTCAATACGTCATGAATAGAACACAGCAGCAGTTTTGCTTTGTTTCACAGAACTAATCGTTGCCTGGGTTGCGTACGTATGTGTGGGGCGGAGCTATCAAAATAGGGGCGAGACCCTTTTGAGGTTTGTTTTGGTGATTTCAAATGTCAACATTGGCTACCAGAAATCGCTTACCCCACCATTAATTTTTGGTCTTTTATCCATCCATCCACCTAAAGCATTCCTCTCCATCAATCCATCCAATGCATTCTTACCCATCCATCCCTTAATTTTTGGCCTTTCATCCATCTAGCCATCCATCCATCCACCTAATGCATTCTTACCCATCCATCCATCGATCCATCCACCCACCCAATGCATCCATCCACCCAATGCACTCTTCCCCAGCCATCCCTTAATTTTTAGCCTTTCATTCAGCCATCCATCCAGCCATCTATCCATCCATCCGCCTAATGCATTCTTCCCCATGCATCCACCCACACAATGCACTCTTTCCCATCCATCCATCTCTTAATTTTTGGCCTTTCATCCATCCATTCATCCATCTAATGCATTCTTACCCATCCATCCAACCACCCACCCAATGCATCCATCCATCCACCCACCCAATGCATTCTTGCATTCTTCCTCATCCATCCTCCACTTATTTATCCTTTCCTCCAATAATACATCCATATCAATTCATCCATCTATCGCCTATGTCTTAGGTCAACCACTGATCCATTCAAGCATCTATTCAAACATTCATCTTTCTTCCATTTGTGCATCCACAAATCCATTAATTTATAGGAAAGACAACATCCCAAAATATACTTATCCTTACTTCCTGAGTAAAACAAATTAAACAGTGCCTCAAGAGTGAATTCTCTTCACTTTGCTTGCTGTCTGTGACTCAGTAGCCTGAGATGTTCTTATTACTACTAATGACAGGTTGCATTCATAGGGGACCTGCATAATGAATTGCTTTATAATAATGTGGGTTATGGTGTGGAGCTGTTACACAAGGGCTTGATTCCACAGTGACTGAATTAGTAATTAAAATTCTCATGCTTAATGGATTTGATTGCTGAAAGAAAGAGACATGGGGGGACAAGTCACAGCTATTTAAAACCTGAACGTTAACATAGCATACAAGTGGTTTAAACAGGCTTTGAAAGAGCATTGCTTGTATTAATAAAAGCAGACTACTACTGATTTCACCTGGACAATGTCTCGCTCCGCTAATTTTCCTCTTGAGGAAATCCTGATGTCATCACCATCCAACTCAACCATAGCTGCGGGAAAAGACAGGAAGTACAAGTTCATCACTGGACCTGTGCTTCGCATAAACACATTTCATTACACCAAATACACCAAATACTGTTCTTTTTAGCAGCATCATATGACCCCTTTAAATAACAATTAAATATTACACTTATTTTTATTTTAATGAATGCTGTTTTAAAATGATATAAAGGTGTGTAAATAATGACAACATCTTTTGAACTACTCCTTTTATTGTATTCACAGTGAAACATTCAGTTGAAAAGGTCATTTTGGGTCTCAAAACTTCTAGGGCCATCATTTCCTTCATCATCAGTTACTGCTTTGGCACCAGCCGAATATAATTGGTCTCTGTAACTAGAATGCACATAGATAATTCCATTACAGTCTTCTCAAACAACAGGCCCTCTCCACATGACCTGCTCACCTCATCCGACAGGAGCTCATCTTCCACCTCTGCGCATGTGAGGTATGTTGTTATTCTAGGAGGAAGCCCTATTTCAATATCGATCAAAGTCTCTCTCAACTTCCTGAGTGTTCTGACAGATCACTACATGCCCTGACATGACGCAATATAGCAGATAATTATGTCTCGCTCTGTGATTAGCCCAAACCAGGTCTCTTTAAATGATCTCTAGATGACCTGTACTGTGCACACAGCCGAGAAAAAACAACCCTGTTAATTGCTATCAAAGCACTTCTTTGACTAATTGCTATAAACGGCTTCAGGGGCACTAAGCTGGTATTAAGGGCATGTGGTAAAATTTTACTTGAAGCTTTTATGAATAGTGCATTATAAAGGTATTTATAATGTACATTGCAATGCATTATATTTTTTCATAAATAATTATAAACCAAAGTTAAAATGCATTATAATATTTGAAGGTTTGTTTGTCATTTTTTTTGTTATACATTCTAAAGGTGTAACAATGAATAGATAAGCATTATAATGTATTATAACTGTGGTTACTATTATTCATAAGATCATACGATACATTATTAGGTACATTACAAGCCATAATGACTGCATTAAATATTTTATTATGCATTATATATAAAGGTTTTAAGTAAAGTGTTACCATGTATGTTTACATGACAATGATTGCACTAAATACAGAAAAAACTGAACATGTCATACATATATGAATGACTTGTTTTCATAGTTTACACAGAGATGATATGAAATGTTCAGTTTGAAACCCATTTTCAAAAGTTTGCATTTTCAGGTGCTCAAAATGCTGTTGTTATGTAAATGAATGACCAAAATGCATAAATAAGTTTTTAGCTGAAAATGGTGTTGTGTAAACACCAACTAAGTACAATTAAAGATTTGAGTTGCCGATTTTAATTTGATAAAACTTCTTGGCATTAAAAAAAAAAAGGTTAAAAATATTTATTTATTACATGGTAATGTTGATTTTATTCTATAAAGTAAAAGCTGGAGTTCTCCAATAAGTAAATAAATAAATTATGATATGGTAACTTGATTAAATTAAATGAAAATAATGCAAAATAATTAATATTCATCTTTAATATATCAAATTGACAGCCCTTAAAAAAAAACTTACCATCAAATTCAGCCTGTCCAACTCCAACAATAATGATGGACATGGGAAGCTTGGCAGCCTGATGGCAAAACAATATTTATTTTCTCAAACCACAGATTTATGTTTTTTTGTTATATATATGAAACACAGGCAGAATGTATACGTTTACGAAGTAAAAACCCATTACATTCCTACAACTATTTGTTCAATAAGACAGACAGACAGACAGACAGACAGATAGATAGATAGATAGATAGATAGATAGATAGATAGATAGATAGATAGATAGATAGATAGAATGACAGGAACGCAATTTAATTTGCATTAACACTGAATGCAACAGTTGGTATTGGTAAACATTTCTCATATATCCAGCACAGAGGTGTTTAGCTATTTATAGTGATGGAACAGAACGCTCTCAAAAGTTCTAGAGGGTGTTCTAGAGGGTGAGCAGAGGGAGAGAGAGGCGGGGCCAGTATGATCACCACGACACCCGCTTCTCTAACAGCCCTCCCGCCAACTCCCCCTCCAGATATCTGTGAAAATTACAACCAAACATTCCTCCTCTCATATACAGCGCACTCATATACCACAAACGCCATTTTGCATAATTTATGTGCCCTGCTAAATTTAAGGCTGGTGGTTTCAGAGTGACTATTTGCACAGCGGTCTAAATAGCACAGGCCACACAGCACAGCTATTTACACCACAACAGCCAGACAAAATGACACAATCACATCTGACCCCACTACAACCTTATGTGCAGAAAAAAACAACTAAAACTGGCTGCCAGAAAAGCAGCAGTAAACAAATGAATGTTAATTACAGTATCCAGTTAAATGCAAGTTTGCTAGCATGGCCTAATATAGTTATAGCATACTCTCGGCAGAATGTGTGCTAACTATCACAGAAGTAGCACAGAAGTGTGCTAGCTATCTTGAGAAATAATTGAGAAATGTGGAGTACAAATACTATTACTGTAGAATTGAATCCTGAATACACCTGAATGCAAATAAATAGTGTTGGGCAAGTTACTCTGAAAATGTAATTAAATTACTCATTACTGATTACTCCTTTTAAAAGTAATCACGTTACTGTTCTGATTACTTTATTTCAAACATAATTAGTTACATCTACACCGCATGCTTAATTATAATGCGCGTTGATATTCTGATGATATTTTTTTTCCAAGCACATTTTACCAATTCCAAACCACATCAATCTTAATAACTACTATTAGTTTTGTGTTTAATCATTTATAAGTGATATATAATTGTACATGAAGGCTGGAAGTGAAAAACTCCTTATATTCAGGTGTGCAGAATTATTAGGCATGTTTTTTTTTACTGATAAAATGAGCCAAAAAAGAGGTTTAACTCAGACTGAAAAGTAAAATTGCTTGGGTAAAAAATCCTAAAAAATGACCCTCACTTAATAAGAGTGGCATGCTGAAGTATGGTGAAATACATTAAGACTAATTTTTTATAGGCTTTATGAACAGATAAGTTGTGAGTGACTCTTGAAGGACCAGCACCACATCCTCTTGTACCACTGATTGAAGAATTTATCTTCCAGAATCTGGCAGTAAGTTTTAGGAGTTAATTTTTATTCCATCTCCTATCCTGAAAAGTCTGTCTTGCAGAGATTCACTAAAAATTATCTGAGGGTAATTTAAAAAAAATTAGGCTAGTTTTTTTTCTGGCCCTGCTATCCCAGTGAGCATTTTGCTGTCCAATGGTCATGTCTTAACTTTGCAATTTCTGTATTGCATTAGTTTTTAATATTTTTCATGGGGATTTAATAATTTTTTTTTTTTTTGCTTTATGGTGACAATGGATGTGGAATCTCTTTACAGCAATATAGTCCATGATGAAGGACTGGAATCTTTGAGATATTATCTAAAATCACGATCAAAAGACGCTCTGCCTCCTACTGAGTTCATTGTGCGCTTGACAGAATGGACTTTAAAAAATAATGTTTTTTTTGTTCGAAGACTGCCTGTATAGACAAGAAAAGGGTACTGCAATGGGGGCGAGCTTTGCCCCAAATTATGCAAACTGATTTCTTGGTTTATGGGAAGAAAGATTTGTTTTTTTTGTAACTCCACCAAGAATGTTTTTATAGACAAAATCATTTGATGGGGGCGCTATATAGATTACATTATTGTTTTTTTTTGCGGGCAGTGAGAAAGAGTTGCTGGACTTCCATGCTTATATCAATTCAAGTAATGAAAATTTGAGATTGAATTTGGAATATGACAAGAATGAAATTCATTTTTTGGATTTAACCATTAGAAATGATGCACAAGGCAATTCATGGGAAAGTCCAGTCACTAAAGAGGGAGGAATTGTTAAACAAAAAAAATAGAAACGTGTAGGCCTTAATAACAAGGTACATTTTGTCACAAGATATTGTAAAGAAGCGACACATATTAAACAGATTATTCAAAGAAATTGGAATATTTTACAAGTTGGTGAGACTCTGAGAGAATTTTTTAAAGAACCCCCTGGTTTTACTCTTAAATGTGCCCCAACAATAAAGGACAAATTGGTGAGGAGTTTTCTTCCAGCTCCAAAACAGGAAACATGGTTGAGACGACCAAAAGGGAACTTCAGTTGTGGTAATTGCAATTATTGTAAAAATATGGTCCGGACTAATACTTTTGAGGACAAAAGAAACAAGAAGATTCTCAGTTCATTGCAATCTCACAAATCTCTATTATAACACAATGACTTCATGCATAATGAATCTTTATGTCTTCAATTTGTGTGTTATAATGAGAGGATCCGTGAGCACACGGTCAGGGCTCACGGGAGCAGGTCTCTAATCCATTGGCACTTGACTCGACAGTGCGCGTGCTACAATTTATATTATAAAACACTGCATTCTGTCTGCAGTGATGTAACGTGGCGGTAACATATAGAGTCCTCGGCTTGTAACTATACTCTAATTACTATTTTGAAAATTATAAAGTGTTAAATTACTCTGTTACTAAAAAAGTAATCAAATTACAGTAACGCGTTACTAAGTAATGCGTTACTGCCCAACACTGCAAATAAAAGACTAAAAAATGTCATCATACTTGGGTGCATAAATTGCACTTTAGACCATAGTACAACAGAATAATTTAAAATATGCCCCTGATACTAATACTGATTCTGTATTGGGAGGATCCATACTTAGTTATCTTATCATAATGTGGATTTTTTTTTTCACTACAATAAATAGATCTGACCACATTGCCATTTATTGTAGGAGGTTTTTGTTAATTGTCTCAATGTTTAATCTATACACCACCATTTAACTTTTTAACTTTTTATTCATCAAAGAATCCTAAAAAAAAGCATTACAGGTTCAATCAATCAATCAATAAAGCAGCACAACTATTTCAAAAAATGATTTCATCACAGGAATAAGTTATATTTTAAAGAATATTCAAATAGAAAAACGTGATTTTAAATTACAATAATATTTCACAATATTACTGTTTTTTTTTTTGTATTTTTGATCAAATAAATGCAGCCTTGATGAGGATAAGAAACTTCTTTAAAAAATATTAAAAATCATACTGATCCCAAACTTTTAAATGACACTTGTATATGTGTATGTATATGTTTAGAAAAGTAAAAAAAATGTAAATGTCTGATTGTAAAGAAAACTTGCAAGTTTCAGTAGATATTTGGAAAGTGTTTGTTTTGAATCATTTTACAGTTAATTTTACAGATCAACCGGCTAGTAAATTTACTTGCTTCATTTTTTTAAACTTAATTTTTACTTGCATGTGGCACTTGCAGAGTGTTTGACTGTTATGTGTAAGTATAAATGAATAAAATCCCACAAAAGCATCAATTTCAAGCTCTATTTCCTGTGATAGCAGCCCAAAATAATAATGCCATTTCCCCTTTGAGATGTTCTGTAATAAAAACTTTCCTGTTGCTCTTCTGACAGTTTCAGAGACCAAATCTTAATTTTTCGCTCCAAGACCATAACAATAAATGGACTGTTACTGGCAGGGGCTGTAAGGTGTTTCCCATTTCCACAATCTTAAATTATCAGTGCAGAGATTATGACAGTCCTGTCATGCCTGCATGTCATAAAAGAGAGGCAGGGCACTATGAATAATTGAAGTCGGTTGCCCCATTTGTGCCATCGTCTTCTGTCATGACTGACAGGACAGATTTGAAGACATGAGAAAACAAAACAGTGTGTTAGTTCACCATAGTTTCCTTGACAACAGCTCTTCAACGTCACGCATGCAGTCCCGAACCCCCACTCTAACATATATGAACGCAGAAGCAAACGAACATTAGGAATAAAATGGGAGGGAAAAACTCAATTCTGAGAACCCACAAATTACCTGCACCGTGTTTCTTTATAACAAAAGGTGCATGCTCACATGCTTACAGCATTATTATTTGGTCTGGGGAGAATGCTAATGTATTGTCATCAGCGCCCAGCTGCTGTAGGAAATCATCATTACGCTGCTAAAGGAAAGACATGGTTTGGAGAATTAAATTGGCTTTTGGACATTAAAGGAACAGTTTGGCCAAAAATGACAATTCTATCATTATTTATTAACCCTCTTGTAACTTCAAAACTTCCTGCTCTTATTTTTTCCTTTGGAACACAAAAGGAGAATTTCTGAATAATTTTTTAAAGATTTATTTTTATAAACAAAGTCAATTTTTTTCCCCTTGTGATTTTACTAAATTGATTAACATGGACACACTCCATTAAAACTGGCATGAAATACTTGTTTCAACAACACACTCATAGTTGTATTAATAATCTCATAATAATGTAACAATCAACACTTGTTGGTCATACAGAAACATTTGCAGGGCTTTTCTGGGGGGAAAAAAGAAAAGAAAAGAAAGAAAACCCATTAACATATTTGAATCATTTCAAATATTAGTATTTAATCTTATCTGCCTAAAGCAAATTTTTAGCAGTTTTATTTATCTAATATACAATTAGCTGCAAATTGCACATGAATTTGGGCTGAGAAATTAAAAGACCAAAAGACTCTTTAAAGTTAAATGAGAAAAGCATCGAATAGATAAAGTAAATCTACAGTAATAGATAAACAGTAACTTTAGAAATAAATATTTTGACTCAACATGGAAATAAATAAAAATGAGATTTATAGTATATATAAATTATTGTTAAATTATATGTAATTATTGGCACCATTTTGCCCAATAATGACCTTGTATTGCATGGCTTCAGAACACTTTGTTCTTTTTGGAGCTTGATGTTCACTATGAGCTGTTGTTCTGGCCAAACGATTCCTTTAAGTAGAGCTTCCAGGTCTTCTGTACGAGCATGTACTGTAAGTGAGGAAAATACACTGTACAGATTTCTACTTGGAGCCATGACAGACAGTTTGGGGCTAAACTAATGATGCCCGTGCTCTAACGAAGGGTAGAAAAAGCAGGATGGAGTCAGACATGGCATGAAATACTGTCAGGGTGTGACTGAGGACAGGAACTTCTATTAAGCCTATCATCAGTCACACAGTGAGCGGGCGGTTCAATCTGACAAAGAGCTGTCTAATTGATTAATCCTGCCGTCCTTCATGTTGCACGTCATATCTGATTGGCGGATGATGGACCTCTGCTATTGCTTGAGCATCCTGACTGGCTTATCATCGCAGGCCTGCCCACGTCCAACATGACAAATGAATGCGCTCGTAATGTTGTTGTTTCTCATTATCATCCTCCGATTAGCCCTCACCCGTGCCTATTGTTATTCGTAACTACCATGTCAAATAAAAAAAGGCTGCATGTCTTCAGCTGACGGATGGGAGGATTCCAGCTTTCAATGCTAATTATCTAAGACAGAAAATGAATATGCGCAGCTCATTAGAGTCTGCCAGAGCCCAACACAGAACCACGGCATTTTATAACACTTAAAGGAATAATTCAATCAAAACTGATTTTCAAACTTGTATGCTGCTATTTTTTTTGGTGAACTGTCCCTTTACACATTTCTGACACATTTCCATCAACACGGCGCAGCTGGAAAAAATATTTCTTCAAAATGTACCATTCACAGAGACCTCTCACGATTTATTGTGAAAGACACATTTTTCAAATTCTGCTTAAAGGGATAGTTCACCCAAAAATGTCACTATTTACTCGTTCTCATGCCAATCCAAATGTGTATAATGTCTTTCTTTGTGGATTTGTGGTGAACAATTTCTTTAAGAGACTGCATTAAGGTAAGCTACACAAATGATAGATAGATAGATAGATAGATAGATAGATAGATAGATAGACTATGTAAATTAAACAAAGATTACTGGAGTACGAAAAAAATACTATTTCAGTCTTTCAATTCAGTGTGTTACTTTCTTTGTAATTAATTGTGACATTTACTAGCAATTTCTGCAAAACTGTTTTCAACACTGAATTTTTCAGTGCATGTACGGTTTGAGAAACATTATAGACATCTGCAGAGGAAACCATATTGCAAACCCTAAATATAGCCGACATTTGACATGCAACTGACAAATAAAAAGTGAAGACAATGTACTTTTTCCCTCAAACCCTTCTTTGTAAATATATTGCTATATACGCATATGCCACACCACATGTCTACATTCGCATCTCTGCTGAAACTGTAATGAGACAGCTTAGCAGCAGGATGCTGTCAGCTGTTGTGGAACGTGAAGAGATGTTGTCGAAACACCCTTAGATCGAAAAGGCCTTGCGTGGGCGAATGTCCATTCCTCTACGACCTGTTTTTAAACGAACAAGAAGGATGAGATGCAAACAGCTGCTTACAGTAACAGCTTTACTCATGAATGATACATGCGTCTATCCTACTGAATCAGAGGAGAGGAGAGAAGTAGGTCAGTGTTCCTCCAAGGTTTTCTGTGAACACTTTACACACTGTTATGAAACTATCCCAACATATGCGTGCCACTCAGCACAAGAGTAGGACACCTGCTCCAACTAGACATGTTAACAGACCTCCTACGTTGAATTTCCGAGCAGCATTATGATGAGATTGAGAGTTGATTTAGCACTTATGAACATTGTTCACCATCATACTGTGCTTGAGAGCAAAACGCAGATTGTATTAGCACTTCAGATACAGCTTTCATTTCTGACACATTTCCATCAACGCGGCGCAGCTGTAAAAAATATTAGTTCAAAATGTACCATTCACAGAGACCTCTCATGATTTATTGTGAATGACAATTTCTTTCAAATTCTGCTTGAAGGGATAGTTCACCCCAAAATGTCACAATTTACTCATTCTCATGCCAATCCAAATGTGTATAACGTCTTTCTTTTGTGGTACACAAAATTAGTTTTTAGGTAGAATGTCCATGGTGCTTTTTTTTTCTTTTTCAAAACGAAACTCTTCAAAAATGACAAAAAGCACCGTAAAAACAATACGCTTAGTGGGCTGAAAGCATAAGATAACTTGGAAGAATGTCGGAAGAAGCTAAATATATGATGACAGGTTTTGGTGAACTTTCCCTTTAAAGATTCCAAATGATAAAATAGTTAACAATTTCCATATTTCAATATAGTAATTATTAAATTGATGGACACATGGCTAATCAATTACCAAGACCACATGACCTTTTCATTTGATTAAGAGATGCAGGCCCTTTCTTGATTAGACTAGTCGGTTTCTATGCTGATATCTCCTGTTTCTGATTCAAACCTCCTGAAATCATTAATCAGATCTGCATTGCAGTGTAACATTCATTATCTTTAATTCATTACGTTTTGATGAAAATGTCTGTTTTAAACTCAAACACCAAAAATTTCGATTCAAAAAAATGTAAAAGTCCTTTGAACACACAAATGAAAATCATAGGTTTGCACCATACTGTAGGTTACCATTTTTACCTTGCAGGTTCAGGTCTTAAATGTCACACGAGGTGGAAATGTGAGGCTTCTTGGCAGATGCAAGCCGCTGGGGAAAGAGCAGCAGGCAAGATCTTAAAAGGAAGGTGTGGCTGTTCTACAGATCTGAGTAACAGTCGCAAATTCCCTTTAAATCCAGTCTGCTGGGAAATCGGGCCCGTTCATAGGCTAGATGAATGCACCGCTGGAGATGAGATTGACCTTTTAGGCGTAAATTATGACCTCAATACACCGCGAGTCATCCATTTAGCATGTTTTATGCAGCCTAAATAGATTATAACAATATATATCATCTATAAAAACCCATATCAGCCACAAGAGATGCTTTAGTACTCAGGCTGAAGATGAAGACCAGGGATTTTACACAAAATATAAAAGCTCTGTTCCGAAAACCTAGATATGTGCCTTTGTAGACCACATTTTAAGGCATAATAGGTGCGCTGCCTCCTAAGATGCTTCATTTTGGCTACATTTTAAGGAAGCATTTCGTGTATTAATCACAGAATGCATTGCGATTCGCTCAAAAATAAATCCACAATGGTGGACGATGAGAGAAATATTGATTATCTAATTGAATATGTATCCAGTACTTGTGTGTGTTTGGTGTGTAATATGCTTTTTGAAGATCTGTGCCTTTAGCTACATGTTGCTACATGCCAATCCAAAATCAATTGCGAGTTAAATCTGTTGTGCACTTTTTGTGAACAGATCCATTTTCTATGATGTGTGTGGAGTTGCAGCCTTTTCACTTATGAGGTTTCATTTCAGTTAGGATGCAGCCTGATAAGGAAGTAAAGTGGAACAGAGTGGCAATCTGGACCCTCTCCAGCCTGTTCTGTTGGGACACTTGTCCTCTTTTAGTGGTCATACTCACATTCACGATGGCCTCTTTGGTCTGTGACATATCTGATATAACTCCATCTGTGATGATGAGGAGCACGAAATACTGTGAGCCATCCTGGACAGCAGCTGCGTACCTTCAGAGACAAGAAAAACAAAAACAATGCATACTTCAGGTCAGATGATTTTTCTTTACATTACACATTTTACTCTCTACATTCTTATTTTCCTGGTTTTCAAATGCCATGCTAACATCAGCCATGTTCTGCTTTGTTTAAATAAATCTATGCCGCTGCCAACTCTGAGCCAGAGCCTGAGGAGGTGAATCATGCTTCAATTTAGAAAGTCTAATTCAAATCTGCGGAAGATGGCATTTTTAATTACCACAGTGGATGCAGTGTAATCAGATGGAAATTTATTTGGTTGTGTGATGCCGTGACATAAGGGAGGGGGTGGAGATGTCTTCAGACAATTACTTTGTCTCCTTTTTCTGGAAACACACCCACTATCCTTTCAAATGATGATTAAAAATAGCTGCAGTCAGTCTGCTATGACACCTATGCTGTGAGCTTTACAATGGGATAACAAGCTTGCTACATGTCAGCATCTTTCTTGTATCAGTTATTGGACTAACACAAACAGTATATGGGTTCAAAAGCCGAGTGTTTGGCCTTCGTGGTCAGGCATGATAGACAGACATATTTGATGGAACATCAGAGAGTCAAACAAACTCAAGCCAAAGAAATCATCTCAAATGTTTTCAAAGATACAGTCCATAGACAAGGTGCTTAGCCAAGCAGTTTGAGATGCCAGGCTTATTCTGATTCTCGATGTGTCTGTTGTTCATATGCCACGCACTCAAAAATCTAAACAAAGATCAATTTCACTATTCATGGAGAAAATAACATTTGCATTGCATTCCACTAAATCTGGGCAATCTATCATTTGCATGCAAAGTGCAAACAGGCTGACATTTTACATGGAAACAAAAACAAGCTGAATAGCTTTAAATGGCAATTTAATGGAGTAAATTTTGAAATGATGCAAGAGTGGGCAAAGCGAGGTTTAGATATAGGAGGAGTGCTGAATAAATATCAATTTATGCTGTGTTTAGATAATTTTACTCAAAACTGTGACCACATATTCAGGACTGGAGGTGTCAAAAAAATTAGTCCACAATTTTCTCTCTATTTACTTCCTGTATAAACAGTGTTGTTACTGTTAACTAAAACTAAAGCCAATAAAAATAAATTTTGTGAAGTTTGTGAAATCAAATATAAATATTCACTGAAATCGAATATAAATATTTAAAGGAAAAAAATATACCAAAATTACTCAAACAAATAAAATAAATTTAAAAAGACATCACATAAAAACATTACTAAATCTTAAATCTTGAAAATAATAATAATTAAAAATCTAATTCAAAATAATAATATAGGAGGAGTGCTGAATAAATATCAATTTATGCTGTGTTTAGATAATTTTACTCAAAACTGTGACCACATATTCAGGACTGGAGGTGTCAAAAAAATTAGTCCACAATTTTCTCTCTATTTACTTCCTGTATAAACAGTGTTGTTACTGTTAACTAAAACTAAAGCCAATACAAATAAATTTTGTGAAGTTTGTGAAATCAAATATAAATATTCACTGAAATCGAATATAAATATTTAAAGGAAATAAATATACCAAAATTACTCAAACAAATAAAATAAATTTAAAAAGACATCACATAAAAACATTACTAAATCTTAAATCTTGAAAATAATAATAATTAAAAATCTAATTCAAAATAATAATAAAATACTTTCTAATGTTTCGAGCCTGCCATCACACCAATAATCTTACTTTTTTTAGTTACCATAAATAAATAGTTCATGTGGACTGTGTTTATTGTAAAGTTATATTATACGTTGATAATAAAACTGATTTTGCATTTAAAAATGCAATAATTTAAAAACCTACCTGGCCACGTGATTTACAACAGGGGCAAAGTTAGTAGGTCCGTATAGTTGGACAGTCTTTAGACTCTGATGGTATGCCTCTAATATCCCCTCAATACCATTACAGTAGGGATTTTCAATATTTCCGTTCTGAAAGACAGAAATCAATGGTTCACATGTGTGTCTTCATTAAAGCCAACCAAAGTTCAACAGAAAAACTATGCTGGAGAGAGAAAACATGGATTGTATCAATCAATATGACAGCAGAGGTTGCCAATTATAGATGTCTCCCATACAGTCTCATCTCAGAATCATTAAACCACTTCCACAGCACCAATGCCTAGCATCTCATTCTCTCAATTTTACGACTGGGAAAGTGAGAAAAACTGAAGGACACTGATACTCTTGGCATCAACAAACTCTTTTGGATTCAAGTTCAAGACAACAGGAAGATGAGCATCAGCTCACTCACTAGGGGGAACTCATGAGACACTCGTCCATCGGGGGGCAGCTTGGCTCCAAATCCCAGTGCAGGGAACATCTTGTCACTGTCATAGTCCTGGATGATTTCCCCCACAGCCTTCAGTGCCAGGGCGTAGGCGTTCATCTGGTACGGGTTCATGTAATGGAGAGAAGTGGACTGGGATGGGTTTCCTGAAAATTTAACAGCAAACAAAAAGTTTCTAGTTATACAAACATATTAGGACACCAATTTAAGAAACAATGTTAATGTGTTTGGTCTCAATGGACTAGATCTTCTACGTGTGGGATACTTGCTGCTGAGCAAGTATAGACTTGCAACTGCCAACAGACACACTTCTGTGAGCTTGTGAGATATGCAGCTGCTGCATGAATGGGCATACATAAATCCTATAACACATTTAGACAGGTGGAGCTGGAGGAGGTGGAGGGTTTAAGAGGAACTCTGATAGCATGCTGCAGTACCAGCTTACAAAAAACACTGAACCAGACTATTTAAATGTTGAGAAAGCAAGCTTACTGGCTAAAGCATGAGATCAATCAGCTTGTGCAATGTTGTAAATTATGTGATTGCTAGCAGACTGCACGTATCTGCCTACGCCATCTTTCATGACTAAGATAGTAATTTCAGTTTAATTCAAAAATGTATTTTTTTTTATCTAATATTAGTGTGTTTTGTGTATTTTTAAGCTAATTAGAATATTATGGTCTTAGCTTAGCAACATGCTAACGTCAAACTCTGTAATCAATTCTGATTTGTGTTTCATTTACAGAATGCTATTTGCGTGCAGCACAGAGTTGCTGCCTAGGTAAAGCTTACATGGTGTTATCAATGCAATTCATTAGGTATTTGAACAGAGCCACTGTGTCTGCAAGAGCAATTCAACAAATACATTTAAGAAACACAAACGAGCACTCCAAGTTTGTTGTTAAGCTATTGATGTTGTTCTGGGTTTAGAACAGTCGGGATCCAAACAGCTCTTGAGCTATGTTTGCATTGTTACTAAATTAACTCTGTAATTCAGCTCTCTTGCACTGCAGGCAGCCACCTTCAATAAATCTCTCAGCAAAACCCATGATGCCTTCTATTTCCATCTTCTCGCTACCCTGTTCTGAACAAATTTAGTTAATTTGCTGAATAATTCAAAGATGTTTGGAAGCAGTTTCTTGTGAAAGAACAGTAATTATTTGAGCACTTGCAGCAAGTGCGGTGTTGAGAACGACAGGGAGTAGCATTCACTGCCGGCTGGTGTAGCTGGGCCATTTTAGACTGTTTTATCCAACCGGTTCACCTCTCAGCATGACTTGAACTCTTACACAGCTCCCCGTTCAGCCTCGCAGCACAGGGGGCCACCCAGCTACGATTAATAGGAGTGTATTGAGCGACACAAGCAGTAGAGAAAGGCCAACGATTGGGTTTGGATTCCCCAACCTTTTAAGAGGTCACACATCATTCTCTCCACTTAATTACTTACCGTTAGAGGCGGTGAAATCAATGGCCACAGTGAAATTGATCTGGGTCCTGGGAAAAGAAACAGAAATGAGAAAACAAAAGAGTAAGCAAAAATGCTCTCTGCAGTGATTTGGTAGCTTGCATAGAGACAGGTCTGTGTGGGCACATGCTAACACGCACACAAAAGCATGAACACGAACATTGCTAAATGATGGCTAATGTGTGTAGTCAACCCCAGCTGCATGGTCTAATTGGGATAAACAGGAAGAGCCATTATTTTGAGCTCACATTACTAGTTGTACTGCACTCAAACAGCAGAGCAGTGCAGCCTCCGCAGGTCCATCTGCATCCCTGCCTTTAGCGCATCCCTTCACACAGCGTTTCCTACTGCTCTGGTATCCCATCGGCCACAAAACCACGTTGCGCAGCATGTTAGCGATACCTACTAAATGAGTCCCACAGGCACCTTCAAGGATTAATTGCTTTCTAGCAGAAGTTTAACTTTGAGCGATGCTAATTAGGCGAGGCTAATATTTTAGACTTTAAAGGTACTGTATAATTTAATAAATACACGTCCAACTGACAAGACAGAAGTTATTATTGCCAAATCTGTTTTATAAAAGTACCATATTCTAAATTAACATACCACAACATTAGCATAAAACAGATACACATAAAGCAAAGCAATTGATTGATTGAAATGATGGAGCACTTAAAAAAGGAATAAGAAGAATTTAATTTTCATGATAAAAACATGTCGCAGACAGCAAAAGACAGCATTCAACTCCCCTCCCCAAAACGTCAAACACAGCATCCCATTAGGGATTCAGTGGGTTACAAGAAAAAATCAGTAAAACCATAATAAAAGCAGAGAAAATTACATTAACCTTTAGAATCCCATGCTAATACATGACTCATGCCCCTGTGTAGCTCAGAGAGTAATTATCCTCTTTATTAATTCATTAAAAGCCATTTACTCTCGGGTCCCAGCGTATGCATCTCCGCATCAAAAAAACAATTCTCTCATTTTGGGAAACTAGGTGACCGAAGCTGTGGAAAATAAGACCTTCTAAGCTACCATGGATTATTGCTGTTTAATTATACATTTATGAGGAGGAAAATGAAACTGAGCAATATTCTTTTTGGTTTTCTCTTGTCTGCTCATGAATGTGCCAATCCAAATTAGAGCAAATCCTGAGCTACTTTCAGCAGTGCTGTTGTTCTACCAGCAGTTTCAGCCTGTGGCACTAGGGCATTTCCACGGCCCAGAAACTTAATAGGCTGTAAAAAGGATGCCCTGCATTAGGGGTTAGTACAGTACAACAGACTTCTCCTGGGAATGGGGTAAACAGAAGGACAAGAGGAATCGATTTCTGGAGACATGCATGTCACTATGTGTCTCCCTCTCATTTGTCAGCTGCAGTGCTCTCTGCAGTGCTGTGGGAGGCAGGGAAGCCCTACATAGTGATAGAATCCCCACCTGTATCTAATGGAATGGAATGGACAGCACAGCACAGATAATGCTGTTTTTATGTAGCATGATCCATTATGACCCAGTAACATCATTAATGGCTTGCACAAATGCAGTCACACAAATGTAACGCAACTTTTTGTAGCATAGTCGCCTTGGACCTCAGTCAGGAGTCCACAGAATTGTCACCACTGCTAGCGACGGCCCTGTCTGTTCTATATATTGAAATCATTAAAATGCCACCACATGCAGTCACATATGTGCAGCAATGTGACATGTTGATCACATTTCAAATTCACCTCTTCTTCTTTGACTTTTTTCTGCACAATAGACTCTCTTACCCTGGCCAGCACAATCTCATCTGCCTTAATAGAAATGTCAAAACCGGTCCTGCGTGGGTTGCACAGGCTGGCCGGAGACTCGGAGCACATTATAACAGGTTATCTGCCACTCAGCCATGAGTACTTCCATGCAGTTAAAGGTCAGCACTTAATCAGGTGCACACACTCACAGCAATGAATGCGGAGCTCAGTATAGCAGTTCTTCATTGGCAAGGGCCAAAAGATCTTCAACTATCTCATGATTAATAGGTTACTGTTTTTTTGTTTTTTTTTCTAGCAAAAATGAAAAAAGAATCTTAAGAATATGACATTCTAAACAAGATACATTTACATGAGAAGCACATCTGCATGAGATTTTGAGGCTAGTTTACAAAAATACAACTTAAATGCATTTGTCTTAACTCACTGGCAAATTGTTTTCTCTTGTTTTAAGCTTTGGTTTTAAATTGGTACTTTTATTCAGCGATGATACATTAAATTAATCAAAAATGACACTTAGATGCTTATAATGTTACAAAAGATTTCTGTTTCAAATAAATGCTGTTATTTGAACCTTTCTATTCATTAAAGACTCTGAAAATTCTGCGTTTCCTTCACAGGAAAAATTATAAAATATAAAATATTTAAAAACACAAAAACGTAATTATAATACTGTTTCACAATGTGTCGGTTTTTACAGTATTTTTGACCAATAGTGAATAGTAGTGTATATAATTTTTAATGATGCATTTTTCCTTTATCTTTTGTTTTGTTTTTGGGGTTTGCAGAATATGTTATCTGAGCCGTACTTGATTTCTCTCAGTAAACATAGCGCTGTGTGGTCATTTCATCAAGCTTTGGCGAGGTCTTAGATTTGATTGGCTCTCGCTGATCTAATACCAAACTGGAGCAGCTCGAGTGTGATGTGCTCCAATTCTCTCCGTCTTCTAGCCATCATCTCTATTGCTGTTCCCAACTCAGTCACTTAGAGAGTAATATTTGTCAATAATGCAGAGGGTTCTTCTTCTAAGTGGCAATTTCCTGTTTTCATTTAGACAAGGACTTAATCAATTTATGGTCTGTCAGACCACTAAGCAATTCCACATGCTGTGTGCGCTCTGAAACACAATACTGCAGCTCCATGAATACACATGCGCACACAAACGCGCCCACGCACACTGCGGGCCGTCTCCTGATGTTTACACAACCCAATGGCAGTAAACCCTCTAACCCTATCAGGGCTGCCCGTGCTGGGGCAGTCAGCCAAAACTGACAAGGATTCACCAAAATGTCACTTTGCATTAGGCTCAAAACTTCCGCCCCACTCTCTTCTTCAGTTCATGGTCATTACACTATTTGCCTACGTTTGTTCTAGGACCAACAAAATAGGAAACACATCCTACTTGACAAAATCATAGCTGCACTAAAGCACATGCAAAAATACAATGTAGCCTATACAGTCAAATTCAAAATGCCTGTCTGTAGCTATTATGCACTTGCTATATGTGATGGAACAGAAGTTATGCTGAAATTGGTCTATTGCTGAAATACTTTCTTCAAGGGCAAAAGTTGAAAAAGGGTGAGAATTCTGGCTGTGTGAAATGATAACATAGCTACTGCTTAGAAAAACCCACTGCAATCTCAAACATATTCATCACACAATCTCCACGGTCGAGAGCTATATCTATAAATCTGATTTTGATGGAACGTGTGACATTCAGTCAAACAGCCTTGGAGAGCTTCAAGCAGATGGATGCAAAGAGATGACTGTCCTTTTTGTAAAATGCCAGATAGTTTAAGAGAACAGCCAATCACTGCATACTCCAGTGTAGTGATCACAGCTCTGATTGTCAGATCATCAAGCCCTTCAGATGTTCCTTTCTAAGATGATGTTTATCCCTACACCACAAAACAAGGGTAAGAGGGTCGTGTTGATCTTTGGATCTTGTTGAATTTTTAATGTTAAATTTCAAGCATTAAATGGTTGTGAATGTAAATGGAGGGTTAACACATAATGTCAATTATCTATTTTTTAAACATACATCAGGACATCATATTTACATTATACATTAAATAAAATTATGTATTAATAACGAATTAATTAACTCTTTCCCCGCCAGTGTTGACAGCCACAACCAGCATTTCTGATCATTTTTACAAAACTTTCATAGCCCCAGAATATTTTATTGTATGAATATCTCAACATGCAATATGTCAAAAGGAGGAACAGAGCCTCTGCCTTTAAACAAACAAACAAAAAAACTTTATTCTAGCTTCATGCAGTTTTTTTTTTTAATCAACACTTGAATGTGGGTAAGTTAAAAAAAAACATTTTGAGCAAAAAGCTGAGAAAAATCATATTTTTGTCAGACTACATCTAGATCAGATTCAGATTCATGATCAAAACATACTGTAGATGGAGTCGATCACTTCCATCAACACCCCCAAAGCTTGCACAGTCCAATACCACTTCCCCGGTCGATGTCAGGCAGTTTTGATTTATATGGTGTTTAATGTTTGATGATCACATTATTTTGCAAATGCATCTGCTTACATATGCATTCGCTTGTTTCTGCTTCTGCTTCATCTGCGTTTTGATCTGGAGATTCTGTACTCTTTCAGAAGATGCGTAATAGCGCCTCCTACCGTTTAACAGTTCCGTCAATGGCGGGGAATTGGCTCGTTTAGTTTACACTCGAAGTAGATTGGTCCCTCTAAGCGAGATCCCAATTTGTCGGTCATCCGACGTGACGTCTCCATTCCCTCCTTCAGGGAACGAGGGTTACATACGTAACCGAGACGTTACACTTTCTGTGCTAATTAAGTGTGCCTCACATGTCCTGAAAAGTGATACCAAAACATTTAGATCACCATCACTTGCAGTATAGGTCATAATCCCCACCTCTTCGTGTAAGTGAATGGGACCCAACTAAATAATCAAATTGCATTTCAAATAAATTGTTCCCAAAGATGGTTTCCATCATTTTAGGTAGTTCTTATCACACTGATGTATGTTCAAGTGTTCGTCTTTCTAATAAGTTTGCTTTTAGTTAGTTCTTTGATGCTATAAAAAGGGGTGTGGCATCATTATTGTGAGCTTTTGATTGGGTTCTGCGGGAGTTTGGGCAGGACTTTGATATGGTGGCTCCATCTCATGATCACTACTGCGCTGGCCCGGGCTCCTGATGACGCCATTTGCGCAAGATACAGCGGCCATTAAATTAATACAATTATTAAAGTTCATTTTGGTTAACTGAAATAAAGCTGAAATAAAATATTTTTGCCTTGGCAATTCAATTAAATAAATTCAATCTGATATACTAAAATGGCTCAAACTAAAACTAAATGAATTAATTAGTTAATCAGGTTAGTTTAAACTAACAGAAATGATAAAAGCACATAAAATTACTAAAACTTACACTAGCATTAACTCTTTCCCCGCCAGCATTTTTGAAAAAAGTTGCCAGCCACCGCCAGCGATTTTGATGATTTTCACTAAAATTTGATGGCCTCCAGTATATTTTGCGGTATAAATATTTGAATATGCAATACACCAAAATAAAGAACAGAGCCTCTACAGTTTTCATTTATATGCTGTCTATTGCTGATGATCGCATTATTTTTCATATGCATCTGTTTACATAAGAGATCGCTTGTTTCTCCGTCCTGTTCATGTGTGTTTTTATACGGGAGGTTTTTTACTCGTTCAGAAGATGCGTAATAGTGCCCCTGAGTGTATAACAGTGAAAACACGGAAAGCCGTAAAAACTCGTCTTTTACTCGTTAAGAAGATGCGTAATAGTGCCCCTGAGTGTATAACAGTGAATGTATGTTTGTGTGTATGTGTGTTTTAGCTTAGTTTTGATGTAATCTAGAATAGCCAATAAAATTCATGTTTCATTTATAACGAATCATTGTTTGGTGTCATATAATTTCAAGGTTAACCCTTTGCCAAAGATTACGTTACCTCTCTAAGAGCTTACGAATTATTATAATCGTATTAACCCGTGGCCAGGGAGAATACAGATATTCAAATTGTTAAAATATACTAAGAATCACCGGCTTGCTGGACGATCCTTGATTTAAAGTGTAAACTATCAGATTTGAATTCAGCTTTAATCAGGTTGACTCAGAATTTTCAGATTCGAGTCCTTTTAAACCTGAATGAATTAATAATAATTAATTCCCTTACAAATGAGTTAATTTCATTACAGCGGGGAAAGAGTTAAAATGCAAATGGAAAATATAAAAACAAAATCTAATTCAAAATGCCATATCCTATAATAGAATATAAATAATACTAAAATAACACTGGTCATTGTAACAGCAAGAAATCAGTTTGTGTGTAATTGAAAAGTCATGTGAGCCACCCTGCTATTGTCAGAGCATCAATGCACAGTAATGTGTGTGATTCACAGCACCTGTGCAAGAGCGTTTGTCTCTCTACTCACCCTCCTTTGATGTAATCGAGGAAAGTCGACTCTGATTCCACTGAGAACGACAGCAGTGTCACCTGCATCAAAAACAGATCAAAAGAGACAACTGAATCTACAACAAAACAACAAGAGAAAAGTATGATGCCACATGATGCGATTCAGTCATGTTAGAAATTGTCCTAATACAACTTGTTTCAGATGAGGCAGTGAATGATGCGGGCAAAGTGTCGGACCCTCTGGGAAGCGACGCTCTCAGACTGATCTCGTAATATACAGCAATAAGGCGACTTTGGCACAGCCATCAATCAAAGCATGATGCTCATATCAGATTATCTCTGCTGTGCTACAAATTCCTGCTTTCATATTCACTTCCATGATCTCTAGCTACCCACACTCCCTTTCTCTTACATACACACACACACGTATACAGATGTTCAGTGTGGCGTGACATTTGGTTTAATGTGCGTGTCTTGGCTGGGTTATTTCCCCCATTTTAAAGTCAGCTTCCATTATTTGTTGATTACAATGAGCCACATGCAAAAGCACTTAAACAGAATGCTTTATAAGGAGGCACAGCCATCAATCAAAGCATGATGCTCATATCAGATTATCTCTGCTGTGCTACAAATTCCTGCTTTCATATTCACTTCCATGATCTCTAGCTACCCACACTCCCTTTCTCTTACATACACACACACACGTATACAGATGTTCAGTGTGGCGTGACATTTGGTTTAATGTGCGTGTCTTGGCTGGGCTATTTCCCCCATTTTAAAGTCAGCTTCCATTATTTGTTGATTACAATGAGCCACATGCAAAAGCGCTTAAACAGAATGCTTTATAAGGACCCGTCAAAGGAAAACAGCGTCTCCATGCAGCTACGAAGCAAAGCTCTCTCTTGTTTTTACCACTCGTTTTAATTAGCACGGGTGTAAAAGGGATACTCATTAATGCGGTAAGACATTTGAAAGCTACTGTGCATGTCGTTCCCTTTCCCATCACAAAATTGAACTGAGGAAATGGCTGTAATTAAAGGCTTCGTCTGTGTGCGCATACTGTACATGCATGTTTGAGCGTATGCTCTGATACACATGCGCATACACGCTCACAGTGGTGAAATTTGTGTCAAGTTAATCTCTGAGCCACCACTCACCGTGCCAGAATTTACATATTTCTTCTTCTTCATCTTCTTCTTTGGATTCACCACCTAAGAGCCATTGGAAAACAAATCAGAAATCAAAATAAGTTCAGACAGATGAGATTGGGCGGAAGTGGAATTTAGATTCATTAAACTGATAACAAACAGCCTTTCCTCTGACAGGATGGTGCCTCAAAAACAAATCAATTATATGTCCTTGGAAAATGCCACCACCTGCGGAAGATGTGGGAAACGCTGAAAATGAAAGTCTTGCTCTGAGTTAAATGTGATTTCACATTGAATTCTCCACTTCTCAGCTCTAAAATGTACCACATTATTTTAAAAGAAAATATCAGTGGTGTTTGGATATTTTGGTATATTTTAGATCTGACTTCACCAACCTAAAAACTTGCACTAAGAACAGTTCACCCAAAAATGAAATATATAATTTTCTGTCATTTAAGATATTTTGGGGAAAAATTGTCTTAGTGTTAATGTTGCTTTTGACCTCACTGAATTGACACTATATTGACAAAACATTAATTTGGGTTGAACTATTCCTTTAAGAACAAATGTGACCCTGGACCACATAAACAGTCATAAGGGTCAATTTTTCGAAATTGAGTTTTATACATTATCTAAAAGCTGAATAAATAAGCTTTCCATCGATGTATGGTTTGTTACGATAGGACAATATTTGGCAGAGAAACAAATATTTAAATATCTGGAATCTGAGGGTGCAAAAAAAAAATCTAAATACTGTATCGAGAAAATTGCCTTTAAAGCTGTCCAAATGAAGTCCTTAGCAATGCATATTACTAATAAAAAATTAAGTTTTAATATTTTTATAGTAGAAAATTTACAAAATATCTTCATGGAACATTACTTAATATCCTAATGATTTTTGGAATAAAAGAAAAATCAATAATTTTGACCTATACAATGTATTTTTGGCTATTGCTACAAATATACCTGTGCTACTTATGACTGGTTTTGTGGTCCAAGGTCACAAATGGTGCAACCAAATAAAAAACATGAAAAGTTATCTATAATATGATATGATATATAATACAAATTGGGAGTTATATAATACTTTTGTCGGTAGCATGAGTTTTCAGTTTTGCACTAAAGTGTAAGCAACAGTAATAGTGTTGCTTGCCTTCTTAACTTTATGTGGTTCTTTCATTTCCGAACTATGTAAGCAATGATTCTTAACTATATATTACATCCCACATATATTTTGATAAGAAACATGAAGGAATTAAGGATATCCATTTTATTGACAAATTGGAGCGGAGGAGATGGGTTTGGTCTAGATTATTGTCTCTAGAAGAAGGAATGAAAGAGAGAGAGAGAGGCAGAGCGAGAAGGAATAATGATTCTGAAAAGCACACAAATGAAAGTAGAACCATCCAGGTGACCTCTTAGCTGTAAGGGGTGAAGTACAGAAGAAAGGAATGGCAACCCCTGGTCGTCCTCTATTCATCTCCAAACACTAAGTAATCAATAGCTCAAATAGACTCTTTGTGCTCAGATGGATGCAAGGACCTGGACATGAAAAGAGTTTTTGAACATGTTCACTGTAGACTCATGACCCATCACCCCTTCAGGTTCACAAAAACTTGAGAGGTGAGATTACAGAGTGGAAATGTATAAGATGTAAATCTAAAGACTCTTTGATGTATAAAAAGGTCATGTGCTGTAATAAATATTTTATTACACTGTAATAACTGCTTTATTACACTGTAATTACATAATTTCCTACAAGTGCTCCAGGGAAAACAACCTCTTATGTTCAGTAATATCTCTACCCTAAATAATACACCAGAACTCATTCCAAGGACAATAAACCAACTTGATGCTTTTGCTTAAGCCTCAACCGCTACCTCCCAAAGAGACACTATGTTTTATCAGCCCTGATTGTACAGCTCCCAACAACATTTTCACAGGCCTCCTGAATCACAGCTTCATCTGCCATGGGATATTTTATCATGTGTTGGTGATGTGTTGGCATTAACACATTAGAAGGTAGGAGTTCTGGGAATGCTTGCGGTATTAGACACCATCCTTTGGAGAGGAGATGGTAAATCACTGTAATAATTCAGAATCCCAGGAACACTCTTATAGTAATCCCAATTTGCATGCTTCCCAAGGGCTTTGATGACTGTACTGTCCAAGCAATTTCCAGAGAAAAACAAAGAGGAGACTTTTAGATACCTGCGACATTGAATGTGGATGGGGGTGGCTAGAGAAGGAGTGTGAAATATCCATAAAAAGAATCTTATTTTAGAGTTAGAAACTAAAAAAACAACACCATAGGTTTAATGCATAGAACATTTGTTACTGTGTCTCCCAGATTGAGGAATCAGTTTTAAATTGAGAATGAAAATATTTGAGGGTAAAGAGAGAAGACCACCCGCTTTCATGGGTGATTTATGTGTCAGCTGAAAAATTAAAAGCATCCGTATGGCTTGGAATATTTGACTTGCTACATCATTTTGAGTGGTTTTTAACTAGTAAAACATTTTGAATTTTATGCACTGAATAAAAAAGGAAGGTCTGCTTTCTAATGATACAATTATTATCTTTCTAACAATGTTTTCGATATATAAGCCATTGGCCCCTAATGTTAATATATTGTGTGGTCGACATCTCACCTCATATATGTTGAACTGGCTCTGACCTCGGGCTAACTCTCTGTAGCTGGTGGTGAATTCACCGATGAAATCATGGCTAAAAACATAAGAAGATTCACAGATTCACTACAGCGAAATATCCTTTCAACTCTTCCTTTTTTATCACATCAAAAGCCATTTGTCAGCTTACCTGCCATCACGATCCCAGTCATACACTTCCACTTTGATTGTTCTGGAAAACAGAAAAGGCCCAGGCATGTTTGACAAATCAATACACTCGGAGGGGGAATTCACTAGGAATTTGCATGCAATGTCTACATTGTTTTAGCACCTGATTTACTAAAGGCAGGGCTATACGTTAACTTTTTTTTCACATAGCACTGGTGCTGCTGAGGTTTAAAATTTTGTAGCACAGGCCAAAAAGTTGTAGCACAAGTATAAAGCGTCTGTTATCGTGTCTGAAAACAATCACAAGTAATGGAGTTCATCACTTAAACAGGCACTGATGTTCCATACAGAGCACAAAAAATACAAACCATCACAAAATGTGTTTTTAGACAAAGTTTTCTTAATTTGCTAAAAGTGGAAGTGTGCAGAAACATAACACCTCTTACACCTTAACAACATATAAAATAAAAAAGAATAGCAGACATTTAGGCCAAAGTGAGCAAAGATAAAAAATCTTTGTCATTATTTTATCTTTGTTATTAGAAAATAAGAAAATTTTTCAGGTACAGTATTTAGCAGTA